TCTCCCGCCTCGATGACACTTTGCGTGCCGAGTTTGGTGACGACGTCGAGCTCCCCGGCTGGACAGATCTGCTTAAGTCTAGGATTGCTATCTTTGACCTAGACTTTGATGCTATTCTCTCTGCTATGTATGCTTTGTATGTTAGTGCTGAGGGTGACTGTTACTGGTGTGTGCCGCCTGACCCAAGTATAGCCGCTGCTGCTCTACGTGCTAGTGAGTCTGGTACTCTCCCAAGTACTGCGCCTGCTGAGGCCTTGCACACTTTCACGTTGGACTCACGCGCCTCGCGCTGTTTCTTTCGTGACAGCACCACCCTCACTCCTCTTCCTGCACCTGTCCCGATCAGGCTGGCTGACCCCTCCGGGGGACCGGTCGTGGCCTGTTCCTCCACTGTCCTCCCGTGTCCGGCGGTTCCGTCTGGCTCACTGTCGGGTCTTCACCTCCCCTCGTTCTCTACGAACTTAGTGAGTACCGCTGCCCTTCAGGATGCGATGGTCACTACCACCACTCCTGGGGGTCAGTGTGTGTTGATCTGCACGTGCACAAGGACGGGGCGTCACCTGGCTACGTTCACTCGTCGGCCAGGGTCGAGTCTGTACACGCTAGCTACCGAGCCTCCTCAGGTTGCTGCGTCTGCTCAGGTGTCCGCGTCAGGTCAAGTAGCCGCCTCTTGCTCGTGTCGCCTCCTGTCGCACCAGACTCCTCTGTGGCAACACCGCCTGGGTCACCCCTCCCTGCCACGTCTTCGTGGCATGCACTCCCCTCTTCTTGTCTCTGGTCTTCCCAGGTCTCTGCCTCCCCTGCCGCCCTGGCCTGCCCCGCCTTTCCTCCCTTGCGTTGAGGGGCGACAGCGCGCCGCCCCTCACTCCTCCTCGTTTCCCCCGACGACTGCTCCCCTGCAGACTCTCCACATGGACGTGTGGGGCCCAGCCCGCGTCAGTGGTCAGAGCCGCGAGCGCTACTTTGTGCTGGTTGTTGACGACTACACGCGGTACACCACAGTCTTCACCTTGCGCAGCAAGGGTCAGGCCGTTAATGTCTTGATCCCTTGGATCCGCACTGTCCGTCTTCAGCTCCGCGAGCGCTTCGGCCAGGACCTTCCTGTCCTGCGTCTGCACTCTGACAGAGGTGGTGAGTTCTCCTCCAACCTCTTGAGGGAGTTTTGTCATGGGGAGGGCATTCTCCAATCATTCACGCTTCCGGACTCCCCTCAGAAAAATGGGATTGCTGAGCGCCGCATTGGGTTAGTCATGGAGGTCGCTCGTACCTCCATGATTCATGCGGCTGCTCCCCATTTTCTGTGGCCGTTTGCGGTCCAGTACGCTGCGCATCAGCTCAACCTCTGGCCCCGTGTCTCCTTGCTTGAGACCTCGCCCACACTGCGTTGGACGGGGGAGGTTGGCGATGCGTCGGTGTTCCGGGTCTGGGGATCTCGTGCCTTTGTTCGCGATACGTCCGCGGACAAGCTCTCCCCCCGTGCTATCCCCTGCGTCTTCCTTGGCTTTGTCCCTGACGCTCCTGGCTGGCAGTTTTACCACCCCACCTCGCGCCGTGTCCTTCCGTCGCAGGACGTCACGTTCGACGAGCCGGTTCCCTTCTACCATCTCTTCCCCTACCGCTCTACCCCTCCCCCGCCCCCGCCGCTCTTCCTTGCTCCCGGTCCCCCTCCGGTAGACCCCCTCCCGCCCGAGGGTCCTGCTCCCTCAGGTGTGTCCCAGGTAGACTCTCTCCCTTGTCCTGCGCCAGTTCAGGTAGCTGTCGGCTCAGGTGCTGCTCGAAGTGCTGCGTCAGTGGGTGCTGCGTCTGGGGGTCTGGAGCCTGGGGGTGCGGAATCTGAGGGTGCTGAGACTGGGGGTGCTGAGCCTGGTGGTCTTGGGACTGGGGGTGCTGAGCCTGGGGGTGCTGAGCCTGAGGGTGTTGAGCCTGGGGGTGCTGCGTCGAAGGGTGCAGAGTCTGGGGGTGCTGAGCCCCAGGGTGCTGCTTCGTCTGGTGGTTCTGCTGGTGCTTCGCCGAGACTGTCTCCGCAGCAGCTGCGTGAGTGGTTTCTCCGCAGCAGCTGCGTGAGTGATTTCTTCAACGCGCACGCCTTCGGAGTGGAGCCACCGGGGCTGGAGGTGCTGGAGGTGCTGGAGCTGCTGGAGCTAGCGGTGCTGGAGGTGCTGCGGCCACTGGTCCTGGAGGTGCTCGTACCCGGGGTACAGGAGCTGTCGGGACTGGTGGTGTTGAGGGTGCTGGAGTTGTAGGCCCTGGCACAGGAGGCGCTGGAGCTGCCGGAGATGGAGTTGGAGGCACTGGATCTGGAGGCACTGGAGCTGTTGACCCTTGCGCTGGAGGTACTGGAGGCTCTGTGCGGCCGCGACCACACTTCGTTCCCCTGCTTCACCTGGTTCTTGGTACCCCGTCTTCTCTCCGCCTTACTCCTCCTCTCTTGTGTCCTCCGCCTGACCAGTCGCAGCCGCCGTTACAGCTCGCCTCCCCACTGCCTGCTCCCTCTCCTTACATTGAGCAGTCCAGCAGTCTTACAGAGCGTCGTGAGCCTGCGTCTTGTTCTGTCTCGCCTGTTCGCACTGCTCGTCGCGCTCCTCGTTCGCGTCCTCCTCCTGTTCCCGGCACGCGCGCTATGGCACTCCGTCCTTCCTCCGTTCCAATGCGTGTTCCTTTGCCTACTCCTCCTGAGTACTCTCTTCCTGAGGTCCCTGACCCTGAGTCTGACCGCGCTCGTGCTGTTAGTCCTACTGTCTCTCTTCTTCTCGCCACTGCTGTCACAGACCCTTCCTTTGAGGTTGCTGCTGCGTCTGCTCTCGTTGCTGAGCTGCTTGAATTTGCTGCTGCCTGTCGTCTCGACTACACCACTGCTCTTGTTGCTGAGTCTTCTTCTGCCAGTCCTCCGTCCGTTTGGGGTGAGTGTGCTCTTGACACGGACGTCCTTGAGGACAAGCAGGAGGACTTTGAGTGTCTTGCAGCTACTGTACCTCGTTTCGCTTCCATGCTGCTTGCCCCTAAGGGAGACCCGGATGCTCCAGACAACCCGACCCCGCGCTCTTATGCAGAGGCGATTACGGGTCCTTACTCCTCTCAGTGGCAGACAACCATGGATGCTGAGATGGCATCCTGGAAGTCCACAGGCACCTACGTCGATGAGGTTCCCCCACCTGGGGCGAACATAGTTGATGGCATGTGGATTTTCAGGGTGAAGCGGCCGCTGGGTTCTCCGCCTGCCTTCAAGGCGCGTTACGTTGCTCGAGGCTTTAGTCAGCGACAAGGAGTTGACTACTTCCAGACCTTCTCCCCCACCCCGAAGATGACTACTCTTCGGGTGTTGCTGCACGTCGCTGCTCAGCGTGACTACGAGTTGCACTCTCTGGACTTCAGCACAACTTTCTTGCAGGGCAGCCTGCACGAGGAGATCTGGCTGCGCCGCCCACCTGGTTTCACTGGGACGTTTCCTGGAGGTACCCAGTGGAGCCTCCGCCGGCCAGTCTACGGTCTCCACCATTCGCCTCGCGAGTGGCACGACACGCTGAGGACTACACTTGCGGCCCTTGGGTTTGCTCCTTCTACTGCGGGCCCGTCGCTGTTTCTACGCACCGACACCTCTCTGCAACCGTTCTACGTCCTCGTCTACGTCGACGACCTCGTCTTTGCCACTGCTGACACTGAGGCACTGACCCTAGTGAAGTCGGAGTTGCAGAAGAGACACACCTGCACTGACCTGGGTGAACTGCGCAGCTATCTTGGCTTGCAGATCACCCGGGACAGAGCACGGTGCACCATCACACTGACTCAGTCACACATGGTGCACCAGATCCTTCAGCGCTTTGGCTTCCATTTCTCCTCGCCACAGCCCACTCCTCTGTCTACCAGCCACTCACTTTCAGCTCCACCTTCGGACGAGTCCGTAGAGCCGAGTGGTCCGTACCCAGAGCTTGTGGGTTGCCTCATGTACCTGATGACTTGCACATGACCTGACCTCGCGTACCCTCTCAGCCCTCTGGCTCGCTACGTGGCTCCCGGCAGGCACCGAAAGGTGCACTGGGATGCTGCGAAGAGGGTACTGCGTTACCTGTGCAGTACGTCGGGCATGGGGCTCGTGCTTGGAGGACGGGGTCCAGTTGTTCTCACCGGTCACGCAGACGCCTCCAGGGTTGACGACTCAGCTACGCAGCGGTCGTCACAGGGTTACACCTTCAGTCTTGGTTCTGGCTCTCTGTCGTGGCGGTCTACCCGCTCGTCTTCAGTTCTCAACTCCAGTTGTGAGGCTGAGACCTACGCTGGGGCTATGGCTGCTCAGGAGCTCCGTTGGCTGACCTACTTGCTGACCGACTTGGGAGAGCAGCCTCGTTCGCCTCCAGTTCTGTACATAGACAACAAGGCCATGATTGCCTTGTGTCAGGAGCACAGACTGGAGCACAGAACGAAGCACATCGCTCTGCAATACTTCCTTGCTCGAGAGTTGCAGCAGCGTGGCCAGCTTCGTCTCGCGTACGTGGCCACTCGGGCCAACACTGCTGATGTCTTCACCAAGGCACTTCCGCCTGGTGATCATCAGCGCTTTGTTACTGTGTTAGGCCTTGTGCCCACTTTGCCTCACTTGCATACTGCTTGACTCTGCTTGTACTGTGATCTCTATATATACCTGCATGCTTGCACTTGCTAGGGTATGATCACTGTATTATTTGTTCTCCTTATATAACTCTGCATGTGAACTGGCCTTGTGGCCTTTTGTTTGTGCTCGGACTGTGTGGTGAATTTGTGATCCACCCTGAGCTTGCTTTGCTTTTCTTGACTGGTCTTGTGACCACTTGTTCTCCCCCACTTTGCCTATGGGGGTGTGTCAGAACATTATAGCTTTTACTTTTGTGTAGGCTATAGTGGGGTAGCCCATAAGGGGTACAACCCAATTAGGGTTAGCACTTGTACCCAACTCTTTGCTAGTTCATTCATTCTCGTTCGTTACTTTCACAATGCAAGTGTCATTCAACCAGCTCCATGAGCAGTTAATGGAGCTTAGGAGGGAGGGCATTTACCAGCCTCCTCTTGGGCGTAGGCCCACTCCTGCCACTCAGCCAGCACCTGCTCCGCCTGCACCTCCACCCGAGGCCACACCCTTTGGGTCTCTCTCGGTGCCTCTTCCTGAGTTTAACCATCGCAAGACGGAGGTGGAGCCTTGGCTTGACCTGGTGGATACCCCCATGACCCTTGCGAATGTGTGTCCTGAGGCTCGTGTCACCGCAGCTACTCATGCATTGGACGAGGTGGCCCGCAGGGCAGTGTATGGTGCTAAGAAGCAGGCGCAGGGACCGTTTGGATGGCCAGAATTCTGCACCGCACTGAAAGATGCATTCATGGTCAAGAAGTCCGACCTGGATTTGCGCGGACGCCTTGAGAGTATCAAGTGTCGTGACCGTTCGGTGCAGGACTATGCGGTTGAGTTCGAAGCTGCAGCACGAGTGCTCTAGAAGCCCTTGTCCGATGAGGAGATGATGCACACTTTCATGAAAGGCCTTCCTGTCAAGCTGCAGCAGGCAGACGTGACCGGTGGCATGACCAATTGGACAACTTACAAGGAGATGAAGGAGCAGGTGATCAAAACTGACAACATCATTCGCACGTACGTGTATGGTCCCGACAAGCCAGGCCAGCAGCCCCGTGCAGAAGGCTCTGGTGGTCATGGGAACCGGCCCCAGAATGCGAAGGGTGGAAGCGGTTGGAACAAAAGACCTTTCCACCAGCGTGGGCACCAGACGGAGCCGCAAGCCAAGAGGGCTGGCGGAGGGGGAGGGCGTTGCCCTAACAACCCGGATTTCTCCGACAAGCAGAGCAACGGATGTGGAAGGATGGGGCACATCGAAAGGCAGTGCCGTGGCAAGAACCCAATCAAGTATTCTGGGAAGCCTAAGCCAGGCGGCGCTGGACCTTCTGGAAAGAAGGAATTTCAGAAGCCCAACTAGGGTGTGGGTACCTAGTTGGACGTGTAGATCAAGTGGATGAGGCATATGTGCTGTGTGATGATGATATATTAAAGCTAGAGAAGCTTGCTGATTGCAGAATCTCTTGTTTGTTTGCGTCTTCTTTTTAATAAAAACTCTGTTTTTTTATCCTCAATCGTACCCACTTGATAACATTTCCATGGAAGCACTGCAAGATAAGTTTTCAGTTATTTTCTGTGGATTGGACATTCTGCTTTCTGTCATTGAAGTTGTGAGCCATTGCACTCAAGAGCACCCCCTGACTTCGGTCGCGTTGGTGACTCGCACAGTGAAAGGCGAATTGTTCAATGCGCTTCATGGAGGGCCGGTCCTGGCGGCGTGGGACAAGGGACACCATGTATGGTGGACCAACTCTCAGTCACATGGCCGTGCCCGTCACAACGTCAAGGTGTATTTCAAACCTTCGACGAATATTGTGGCATGTCCTATTCGCCCAAAACATCAACAAAATTTGTTGCTTGTGGGTAGCATGAACGGGGAAAACGCAAAAATCTTTGTTGACACGGGTGCAACTGTTTCCCTCTTTGACGAAAAGTGGGCCACAGCACGCATGATACTCGTTAAAGGACCGTCATGCCCCATTTGCCTTGGTGATGATAGCATCATCCCAAGCGAAGGGCAGACACTGATCAACATGAAGCTTGAGGGTTATCACAAAGAGATCTGCGCGTCGACCTTGTCCTTGGAATGGATTGGCTTTGAGCGAATGAAGTCAAGCTCGATCCCCAGGACAATACGGTCTCATTCTCAAAGAATGGTGATACTGTCCAGTGGCAAGTGTGTCAAACATATATGCTTAGTTATATCTAGGCTTAGTTTATGTGTTTATAGTTGTCTAGGCTATAGTGGGTTTAGCCTTAGGGGGTACAGATTTCTCTCGACATTCTACTTGTACCCCTTCCCTTTTCCTAGTCAATCAATCCTCGCCTACTATTCTCACATGGTATTAAGAGCATTACCTTCCTAGGATCCTAACTTTAATGGGCCCACCACCTAATTAACTGCTAGCCTAGGCCCCGTGGCGTCGCCCATAGCCCCTAGGCTCGGCCCCTTGGCCTGTCGCCCCTAGGCTCGGCCCCTTGGCCCGTCGCCCTTAGGCTCGGCCCCTTGGCCCGTCGCCCCTAGCTCGGCACCTCGGCCCCGTCGCCCCATCGATTCCGTCGCCCGCGCCCGTCCCGTTCCTAGCCCCGCGATTGGCCCGTACCTAGCCTCGCGCACGGCCCCGTTCCTAGCCCCGCGATCGGCCCGTACCCGCCCCGCGATCGGCCCGTACCCGTCCCGCGCTCGGCCCCGTTCCTAGCCACGCGCTCAGCCCGTACCTAGCCTCGCGACCAGCCCGTAACCTGCCCGCGCACGGCCCCGTCTCTCGTCCGCGCTAGGCTCGTACCTAGCCCCGCGCCCGGCCCGTACCTAGCCCAGCGCACGGCCCCGACCCTAGCCAGCGCCCGGCCCCGTACCTAGCCCGCGCCCAGCCCCGTCTGTCGCCAGCGCCTGGCTCCGTACCTAGCCTCGCGCCCGGCCCCCCGTCCTTTGCGCAGCGCCCGACCCCGTCTCTTGCCCTCGCTCGGCCCCGTACCTAGCCCCGCGCCCGGCCCCATTCCGCGCCCAGCGCCAGGCCCCGTACCTGCCTAGCGCCCGGCCCCGTACCTGCCCAGCGCCCGGCCCCGTACCTGCCCAGTGCCTGGCCCCGTACCTGCCCAGCGCCCGGCCCCGTACCTGCCCAGCGCCCGGCCCCGTACCTGCCCAGCGCCCGGCCCCGTACCTACCCAGCGCCCGGCCCTGTACCTGCCCAGCGCCTGGCCCTGTACCTGCTTTGGCCCATCGGCACCCCCTAGGCCCCTCGGCCCCCCCTAGGCCCCCCCGGCCCCTTGTTTGGCCCCTCGGCCCCCTAGGCCCCTCGGCCCCCCCTAGGCCCCCCTTGGCCCCTATGTTTGGCCCCGTGGCCCCTAGGCCCCTCGGCCCCACCTCATAGCCCAGCGCCCGGCCCCCCCCCCCGGCCCCTTGTTTGGCCCCGCGGCCCCTAGGCCCCTCGGCCCCACCTCAGAGGGAGGGGGAGGGGGGCCGCGGGGCCAAACACGGGGCCGGGGGGCCTAGGAGGGCCGAGAGGCCTAGGGGGCCGAGGGGCAAACAAGGGGCCGGGGTGCTCCCCCTCCCCCCTTTCCTCCTCCTTCGCCTCTGCTGCTGCTGCAGACGTCTCTAGTCCTGAGGACGTCGGTGCTGCTTCGACTAGTACGAAGCGCCGCAACAGCAACGGCAAGGGTGGCCGGGGTAGTGGAGGAGGCAGCGGTGGTGGTGGAGGTGGCAGTGGGTGTGGCTGTGGGGGCAGCGGTAGAGGAGGTGGAGGCGGTGGAGGTGGTGGCGGTGGTGGGACCGGTGGCGGAGGTGGAGGCTCTGGTGGCGGCGGTGGAGGCAGCGGATGGAGTGGCGGCAGTGGAGGCGGTGGGACCAGTGGTGGTCGGTCTGGACCTCAGCGTGGAGGCCCTGGTGGTGGTCGGGGCCAGCGTCGCAGCAGTGGTTGGTTCAGCGTGGGGCGGGTGAGGGTAGATAGACCTGCCCGTATGTCATTCGCACGGGTGCCCGTGCGGGCAGGACATGCGGGAGGTTTCACACTGAGCGCCGCTGCTTTGCCCGCCTTGACGACGCCTGGCGCACTGAGTTTGGTGATGACGCCGAGCGCCCTCGCTGGGCGGAGTTGCTTAGGTCGGGAGTTGTTATCTTTGACCTAGACTTTGATGTTATTATCTCTGCCATGTACGCTATGTCTTTTAGTGCTGTTGGTGACTGTTACTGGTGTGTGCCGCCTGACCCAGGTATAGCCGTTGCTGCTCTAGGTGCTAGTGCGTCTGGTACTCCCCTTGGTAGTGCGCCTGCTGAGGCCATACACACCTTCACGTTGGACTCCGGCGCCTCGCGCTGTTTCTTTCGTGACAGCAACACTCTCACTCCTATTCCTGCACCTGTTCCGGTCAGACTGGCTGACCCCTCTGGGGGCCCGGTCGTTGCCAGTTCCTCCACTGTCCTCCCGTGTCCGGCGGTTCTGTCGGGCTCACTGTCAGGTCTTCACCTCCCCTCGTTCTCTACGAACTTGGTGAGTACCGATGCCCTTCAGGATGCGATGGTCACTACCACCACTCCTGGGGGTCAGCGTGTGTCGATCTGCACGTGCACACGGACGGGGCGTCACCTGGCTACGTTCACTCGTCGGCCAGGGTCGAGTCTGTACACACTGGCTACTGAGCCTCCTCAGGTCGCTGCGTCTGCTCAGGTGTCCGCGTCAGGTCAGGTAGCCGCCTCTTGCTCGTGTCGCCTCCTGTCGCACCAGACTGTTCTGTGGCACCACCGCCTGGGTCACCACTCCCTGCCACGCCTTTGTGGCATGCACTCCCGTCTCCTTGTCTCTGGTCTCCCCAGGTCTCTGCCTCCCCTGCCGCCCTCGCCTGCCCCGCCCTGTCTTCCTTGTGCGAGGGGCGGCAGCGCGCCGCTCCTCACTCCTCCTCGTTTCCCCCGACGACTGCTCCCCTGCAGACCCTCCACATGGACATGTGGGGCCCAGCCCGCGTCTGTGGACAGGGCCGCGAGCGCTACTTTCTGCTGGTAGTTGACGACTATACGCGGTACACCACAGTCTTCCCCTTGCGCAGCAAGGGTGAAGTCTCTGCTGTCTTGATCCCTTGGATCCGCACAGTCCGTCTCCAGCTGCGCGAGCGGTTCGGCCAGGACCTTCCTGTCCTGCGTCTGCACTCTGACAGAGGTGGTGAGTTCTCCTCCGACCTCTTGCAGGACTTTTGTCATGGGGAGGGCATTCTCCAGTCGTTCACGCTTCCGGACTCCCCTCAGAAAAATGAGATTGCTGAGCGCCGCATTGGCTTAGTCATGGAGGTCGCTCGTACCTCCATGATCCATGCGGCCGCTCCCCATTTTCTGTGGCCGTTTGCGGTCCGGTACGCTGCGCATCAGCTAAAGCTTTGGCCCCGTGTCTCCTTGCCGGAGACCTCGCCCACACTGCGTTGGACGGGGAAGGTTGGCGGTGCGTCGGTGTTCCGGGTCAGGGGTTCTCGCGCCTTTGTTCACGATACGTCCGCGGACAAGCTCTCCGCCCGCGCCATTCCCTGCGTCTTCCTTGACTTTGTCCCTGACGTGCCTGGCTGGCAGTTTTACCACCCCACCTCGCGCCGTGTCCTCCCTTCTCAGGACGTCACGTTCTGTTGTGCCAAAGTACTATAGTGGCATGGTCATCGCACTCCCATTCAGCCTACAAGCCTGCTCAGCTTCTGGAAGTTTCTGGTGAGGTGTTTCAATATGTGTTCTTCAAACCCTCAAAGTTTCAGAATTTTTAAAGGAGTGTACAAGGCATGGCAACATTTTTAGTTTCAATACTTATGGCATCCCGGAAGTGTGTGTTACTCTTTTTTGGTAACACTCGAGTTCACCATTTCGACTGCTGACTCTTCTACCAAGCTCTGATTGGTCGGAAAATCGGTGTGGCAGTCCTTTGCCGTGTTGTGCAGGTGGTCAGCGAGTTTCAGGACAACCCAGCATTGGAGCAGCACGTGACAGCTGTCGAAATTTACTGTTCCGTAGTCATGGTGCACTGTTGGCAGCATTTCTCTTGCCACCCTTTCATTGTTGTCATGCCAATGGTGCAGGGACAGAGAATGAGACAAGAAGTACAGGTGGTCAAGTGGGACTCTACTACCCTCCTTTTGAGAAGTGTGGTCTTCCTAGAAGCAGCTTGCAAGAGGGTGCAAGTGGGAAGACAAGCTGACTCATGGTTGGCTTGACTCACTATTGGTGGCCTTGAGTACAGCTCTGAACATCCAAGTGTGGTTGGCTTTGCTGACCTAGCTAGGACGTTTCCCATCCTTCTCTAGCCTTTCTCCCCTAGGACTCAACCTTCTCTGAGTTCCCAGGATGGTCCCAACCCCTTAAGAGTCCCCTAGGCAATGTTGTACCAACCTCTT